GGAGGGGAGAATGGTCGGACAGCAGGTACTAGGACAGCAGTCCACCCTGAAACACGGGTCTGAGATGCAATGGGCCGACCAAAAGAAAATGTCCTTGGAAAAAGCTACACAAATCGTTGGTTATTCACCTCTGCTTTACAAAGGGAAGAAGTAACGGTACCAACAGTCCCGTTAAATTTTACTTCAACCATGGGCCTCAAGAGCCAGAGATATACATTGCAAATATCCCAGGTATGAGGAACATGATAAGATAAAGTTTAATGAAAATAAACTATCCCGCAGACCCCTAGGGGTCCGCGGACCACAGGTTGGGAAACACTGGCTTAAGCTATGGCGCAGCCTTAGAGATAATATTGGTGAATTTGGTGATAGCACTGGTATAACGTTTCACTGTAGACTCTACACTGCAACATCTCATTACATCTGTTCTCCCTTCCTTGTGCAGCTTCTTGGTATCTGCAATCTCTCCAGTGTAGCCCATTCAGGTACATCTCCGTGTTATCTTAGTTGCTGGAAAAAAGAAAGGAAAACTGCACAGTAGGGGTTCCCAAAACTGATTATTCATGAATTATGTGATTATAATTGCTTAGTGTTTGTTTCACATGAGAGAAACTTATCCACTTTATAAAAACAGTGATCGACTAGGTAAGTTTTCAAAGCGTTTTTGAACTTATATAGTACCGGTATTTCTTTAATATATCATGTCAAATGATTAGCAGTCGAAGTCCTACATTGTTAAAGTTGTTCTTGCATAGACTTATATTACATGGGACAATGTGCAAGTCGTCTCTTTCCTTGTGTTGTATGAGTGGACTCCTGAGTTGGTTGTGAAATCTTTTGAATTGGATTTTATTGTAAGGAATGTATTTGTAGGATTTAGAACAACATGGTAACTACTTGCTTTCTATTTATTTAACAAACCTGTCAGTATATCACACTTTCTAGCTGAATGGTAGGATGATTCATGATGATAATGAATGGGAAGGGATATGGAGGGAAGCAGTCTGAGGTAATATCCCAAAATTTCCTTGGAGGAACCGAGGAAAATCGCAAGAAACCTCAATCAGACTAGTTGATGCCCCAGTCAAGATTATGTTATGTAGTATTTACATCTGCTCACTCAATGGAGACCTAAATCTGAAGGTTCTGGACATGCATACATGGTTCAGGACATGAAAAAGGAACCCATCCTGCAGATGGGATCTGATAAAATGATACTGAAACATGTCTATGATAAACCCTTCACGATCAGATTTCCAGATAGGAGT